TTATTTTTAGAGTCGGTGATTTTGAGTTATTCGTTTATTTGTCTTGCACATACTTAATACAAACTTACTTAGTATGTAGTTTTCTCATGGATGCCATTGTCAGAACTGGACTAAATTGAAATGCGACCAGCTTTCAAATGGTACAAGAATCATCAAAAACGGTTCACCCAGTCGAGTGCGCTGAGGTGACAAAGATAAAAATAAAAAAAAGACGAACTGAAGTCGGTTACAAATATTGTCAAATGTATTAACTAAATTCACTTCACAATGCTTTTGTCATAGACGAGTATTTCGAAAGCCCCAATTATTGTATCCTTCCTTTTTTCCCTCAAAGCCATCGGTTCACCATTCAGTCGAATAACAAACAAGCGATGGCAAGCAAGCGCAGCTTTAATTTTACTTAACTAGTTTCAGATTCAAATGAGTTCAAAATATAAGTAATTACAATCGCTAATCTGAAAAATGCTCCATTTTCAAAATCTAAAATATTAATGAAATGTTAATTATAAAATATAACAAGATAGAACGCTACAGTCGAGCAAGCCCGACAGTAAAATAGCCTGTACTCTCCACAAAAAAGAAAAAGTAAAAAAAAAAAATTTAAAAAAAAAATTAAAATATTAAAAAAAATTAATGAATTAATTAATTAAATTAAATTAGAATATATGTTTATGTTTAGTTTTAACAGCATACATTTACATCACGTACCTATGCGTGTTTATATGCGTGTATGTATGCAGCACAAAGTTGAACCAAAGCAGCAACAACAACAACAGCTGCGGGCAGCGCTGCCGACAGAGCTGCAGGCAGCGCATGAGCAGCGATTTTAATTATGGCTATAACTTTCTTCAGAATTGATCTATCATGATGAAATTTGGTACACGGACACATTAGTACTAACTGGATGTACCTACCAAAATTTATTTCAAAATTCCGAGAATTACGGAAGTTATAAGAAAAAACACGAATTGCGGGGGAGTGGGGGGGTGCATCGAAAAAAAAACTCAAACTCGTACTTTCTCGGTCTTAGGAGAATATGGAAACCAAGTTTGGTTATTCTAGCTCTTATACTTTCTGAGATCCTTGCGTTCATACGGACAGACAGACGGACAGACGGACGGACAGACGGACAGACAGACGGACAGACAGACGGACGGACGGACAAGGCTATATCGACTCGGCTTCTCATCCTGATCAAGAATATATATACTTTGTGGGGTCTGCCACGCCTCCTTCTGTGTGTTACATACATGCGCACAAAACTAGTATAGCCTTTCACCCTTTGGGTACAGGCTATAAAAACGAATACAAATACCCGCTACGCCTAATCCATTCTGGGCAACTTTGTATGCGCCATAGATTATTCCTTTATCCTTCTGTCATTCCAAAAAGTCTTTATTAATCTCCGTGGCAATAACAATATGACTTGTGCCTATTATTTTCTATTGTATTTTGATATCCAGAATATTTCTGCTATAGTTGAACTGCCTATATAGTAAATATCTGGGAAAGGCTTCAACATTGAACGGAATTTTAAGAACTTTTCAAAAATATACTTTTGTGCAATGGCTCGATTGGCAAATTTAACATTAATTAGCACTACTGGCCAAGTATTTCAAACGGATATTTAGTATGATAATATTTAATTGAGATAATAATGGAGTCTAAAGGGTATTTCTTACCTATAGCCAACAATCTTATTTATCACATAACATACAAGTACATACATCTATACTGTATGTTTCTCCATTGACTTAAAAATTAAGGTAGTAAAACGCTAAAGTCGGGCCAAGCCGAATCTTGAATACTCTGTACCCACCCTTTGCTCCGCTAAAGTTATTAAATCAACTTTGTTGTATTTGCTTTTTTAAGAAACTTTAGGATAAGAGGTGTGCTTTACTGTCGATAAGTTAAAAATCTGCATACCTATATCGGTGTTTTCCATTTTAAAGCAATGTTTATTAACAAAGAATTTGTCTTTAAAATTGAATAAAATAATTTCGAAGTAATGAAGCTTAAAATCATCTGACTGTAAGGGCGTCGCCAAAATACCAGGGCTGCACAAAAAATGTTGCCATTTGTATTTTTATCCCTTTGTCTATATTCTATCAAAATACTAAGAGATTTTTTCTGTATTTTAAAGTTTTTCTTTTTGGTTTAATGCCCCAACTTTTGCTTTTTCGGCCAGTGTGCTATGGTTCAAAAGTTCTGGGTGTTTATACCGACAAACAGGCTGGCGGATGGACAGACATACTATGAACTACATATAGTATATCGTTTCGTCTCCTTTCCTTCTGTCTGTTACATACGTTTTGGCGCTTTCTCGTATACCCTTCCACCGTTCGCGTACAGAGTATAAAAATTTCAATTGGGCGCTAAGCAATTCTAAAGTCATAAATTTATATAACCGTGATCTCTTCTTGATGGCCAATTAAGAAGGAAAAACAAAGTAATGAAAACTGATCGCTCGATAAAACTTATGCAATGCCTCTGCAATATATAGAGTTCAATTGTGACCGCAGCTTGTAATTATATGTTTGTACTCGTACATGGCATAAAATTGAATTACGACAGACGAACAGACGGAAAGAAATGATCTGAAATGAAAACGAATGAAAACATGAAAACCAAAAAAATATATATACAAGTATGTACAATGATAGTACATACTTGTAGATGCACTGTGTATGTACATATGTATATTCATGTGCGATGTGCGAGTATAAAAAAAGAAAATTGCAGCCGGCATTTGAAATCAATGAATACTTGTATTGTTGTTAGTGGTGCTGGCTATTTAATGTGTTATGCCTGTTATGCCTTTAAGTTATGCCTGCCGCGTAACTGGGCCAACAACAGCAACACCAATAACAACAGCAGCAACACTCTCGCTTTCACGTCAAAATGCTATTCGAACAAAAACGGACGGACAGCCGGACGGTTGGACGGTCGGACAGAGAAGGCGATCAGTCGAGAGAATGAAATACAAGTATGTGTGTTGCTAATACACGGCGGACTACTCTTATTTATTTATTTATTTATTTTTGGCTGTTGCGACCAAAGAAATGTACAAATATATGTACATATGTATGTATGTATGTACTATGTTTATTTGTTTGTAGATACCTGTGTATGAACAAATTGTGTTGAGCACTTACGCAAAGAGCAAAATAAAGTACAGAGCACCTGGCTGGGTCTTTTGTTTTTGCGCGCCGGCCGCGTTTTCTTTCTTTAATAATTATTTACCATAAATTTGCGGTGCAAGTGGCGTCCGAGCGCCGCAACGAACACGAAAAGAAATGTTGCACAACTAAATCGAATTTATTTCAAATTCCAGACCATTGCGAGTGCGCGGCCACAACACCAGCAACAACACCATAAATATTTAACAGAAAATGCGTTCGAATATGCAAACCGACCGACAGACAGACGGACAGACGGACAGACGAACAGACCGACGGACCGCATGGCTCAGCAATTGGACGTCAAACCGCGAAATTGCGCCAAGGGCGATCGTGCGATAGACAAGTGGGTGGATGGGGCTGGGCAGGGGGAGGGGGGGCAGTGGGCAGGGGAAGCCACTTGCAGCGCCCCCACAGCAGCGACGCCTTTGGGTCGATGATGTTGGCAGACCGACATGACCATGTGACTTACTTTTTACAAGTTTTCTGTACTTGTACGCTACTAGTTTATTTGTGGGTGCTGCCCCCCCCCCCCCCCCCCCCAAAAAAAAAAAAAAAAAAAAAGATGTGCAAATGAAACAAAAATCACTCAAGTAGATCAAGTGGAAATGGGTGCGCATCTGTGAAGACGACCGCAAGGTGCCATCCAAACAATCTGTGAGGTAATCCAGTTCGGAAATATCAAAAGTAACAAGTCTACACAATGGCCAACACTTCAATGTGAGACAAAAGAAATGGTATTTATTAGCGAAAGTGCACATTGGGCTTCAAAAAAAGCAATCATATGGATTAATCATTTAACTTAATGGCCGAAATACTTACGCTTGTGAAGTTTTCGACGATAAATATTTGAGGAAAATGCAAAAATTCCCTTGATCTGTAGCCATGCTTCATTTGTATTTTTAAAATACAAATTTTTGTGTGCCCTTGAAAAGGCACAAATTAGCTTTGTTACACCTCTTACCATAAAGCAACAAAGTTCCATTCAAATAGAAAACTAGCTACAAGTTATTGAAGAGTAGGGCTCGTACATTCAACTCGTTTTAAAATACGTTCAAGCTTAAATAAAACTGAAACTGGTAAGGACATTTAATGGGATTTTAAATTCTTACTCGTTCTTCTCCACAAAACCATTACATTTGACTTCGTCTCTTAAGTAGCGCCTTGTCTCACCGGAAAGAAAAACCCCCTAGTTATTATCAAAATCGCTGCCTTAGACAGTTTCAATACAAATAACGAAAAAATTACATTTTTTGTATTAACAAAGCCAAACTATCAAGTTGACCTTCTGTAGTGAATGTGCCCCGATCTGAACAATGACGCAACTACAGATTATTCGAGCGATTAGATAATTTCCAAATCGTGTTTTCTATATTCTCGTATACTTGTATTTTTTCAATTAGATTGTTAATCTTTATAAACTAAATGCAATTATTAGCGAATAGTAAGCAGTACTGTTGCAATAGAAAATCATTGTGGCATATTGCTCATGATGATAATGCCTGCCACACACACACACACACGCACACACACACACACACAACAGACGATTAATGGGGCTGTTGACAGATGCACGTCACGCCTCAAGTTTCGGCTTGTTGAGGCCCTACGAGTACAATAGCCCTCAATGGAGCGTCGAGCACGCGTCACAAAACTTTCCACAACGTGCGTTGCATTATCGGCGCCGAAATCGCAGCTTTATTTCCAAACTGTGAATACACACGCATTCATTTCGTATTTATTTATATACAAATGGCACAAGTTGTGCTCCAAATAGTAAATATAATCGAAAAATTAAAAATAGAAATTTAGACTGAGGCTATTTATTACATGCTGTGAGATTTTTCTATTTACCTATTTACTTTTTTCATTATAATTACAATTTTTGGGCTTCATATTTGTGATTCCATTTGGCTCTGAAATGCGACTTCCTGGTGCCCATTTAATTATACGGGTATGCTGCAAACCTGATAATTCTGTCTGTATAGTCTGCCGAGTACATTAATCAGAGCACAGCGTGCGTTGACTTTCATCTGAACATTAACTTTGGAAATTTCTAAATGAAGTGAGCGATAAAATGAATGACATCCTCAGTTTCAACCCGAATCTAGTGATGAACAAATGTGTCGACATTAATTTGTTTCCGGAAAATCGCGAAAATTGTGCGGTCGGTGTGAAGTAATTCCTACAACTAGCCCCTACTGATAGAGTCCCTGTAAGCCGTAAATATTTCGAAGCCTTTGTAAAATGTTTGTTCTACATAACTACTAACTATATAAGTACTATAAACTATTTAGTACAACTTTAAAAACTGGCTCTCATCAATAAGTCTATCGATCAAATATTGTTTCAATGCCGCTTGGCCTTTCTGTAGTTTCTGTCGCTACCAAGCAGGAGCCGGACTACCAGCCATAGAACTAGGAGCGTAAAAATGATAGTCGCTACTACGAAAAGAATAACATCGAGTAAATAGAATTGGAACCAGTTGAGATCCAAGCCGGCCAAATGCATGTGAGGCGCTCCCTTGTGACGTATGACGTATTCTATCCAGTAGACGGCGCTCTTGCGGGCATCCATCGCCCTGTCCCGAAAGACGGCCGAGACTTGCTTCATATTCTCCTTAAAGGTGGCATTGTATATCAGCTGCATTAGCGAGTCCCTGAGTATATCCTTTGTGATCGACTGGAAGTGCAGACTAATGGCATAGCCTCCCAGCACAGCTTTATTCATGTTCAGATGCTGCAAGAGAGTTGAGGGAAGGGACTTTAGAAAGGGGAAAGAAACGAGAAAGTGAGAAATTTAAAGCCTACCTGATCACAATAGAAGGGTATGCCCAGCAAGGGCACTGCATAGTGAACTCCTTCTTGGGTGCCAAACAGACCACCATGCGTGATAAACACCTTCACATTACGATGCGCCAGAATATCGGCCTGGGGCATCCACTTCTTGATCATTACATTTGGGGGAAGAGCACCCATGTCATCTTCAAATTTCCAGAGGATGCGCTGTTTCAGCGACCTGAAGACATCCAGAAATAGCTGTACCATATCCGCTGGCATATCCTTGCTCTGCACATTGCTGCCTACAAATTATAAATTTGAAATTATTACTAGAGATAAATGCGAACCTTTTCAAATGCAGACAAAAATTGTAAAAATAAAAAATCGTGTAGCTTTATTCTGCATTATCTTTTTAGACACAACGAAGATTAGAATACATTCGGCTAAAAATCGTGCGAATATATCCCTCACTATGCTTTTAGAAAATCCCCTTTTTTTGTTCCTCTCTCTAAAAATTTGAGCTCTAAAACAATAATAGGATAGATCCGAACCCATCACTTTATAAGTATGTAGAACTGATGGGAAAGTATTGTGCTACAGAGTTGTATGCTTGATTCCAGTTGATTCTTTTTGGGCCAGTTTTAGTCTCTTCTTATTTTAGCTACACAGATCTAGTTTTGAATTTAAAATTGGCATTAGAGCGTGCACAAAATATTGCGAAATCATTAGCATTGGAATACAGCTTTACTAAAGATATCGCTAAATTACCGATTCCATAAAAAACCATTTCTTCGAAGCTCACAAAAATACTTACATGCGATATGAGAAAGGGTTATAAGAGATGATTAGTCCTTAGAATTGCTCATACAATCTTCAACAAGAATGCCTAAACACCCATGCAAATTCTAGCTCGTTCAATCTCTATGAACAAACAGTCTTTAGAAGAATTGCTCATACAATCTTCAACAAGAATGCCTAAACACCCATGCAAATTCTAGCTTGTTCACTCTCTATGAACAGTCTCCAAACAGTCTTTAGAAGAATTGCTCATAAAATCTTCAACATCAATGCAAATTAAAGCTCTACTCTCTGAGAATGTGCGAATGAGCTTGCTTACCCAGACTGAAGAAGATGGCGCCGTCGGTAGCTCCGTCTAAAAACGCTTTGATGTCGGCGGGCAACGGCTTGGGGGGATATATGTGCATGCCACCCACAGGTATCATAGCGTCTACGGTGGGTCGGGCCGTGGTCAGTGGAGCATGACTGTTGAGCAGCATTACCGAAATTTGATGCTCCATATCCTTGACCTTTGGAACTTCTGCTGAGAGTGGGAAAAAGTAGTTAGACAACTTATACAAATTGTTCAAAATGTTCTTCAAAACTCACCGAGCACATTGCCGAAATGTTGTTGAGTTAAGGCATCCATTTGTGGAAAGTAGATAAGCAGGCGATGCAGGTCTTCGAACATCGAGACGAAGCTGTTCTTTAGCCGTTCGAAGAACGACATACGATCGGTGAAGGGCAGAAAACCGTGTGGCACGAAAGACCAGGGCGTGATCAGTCCCATCATCTGGCTCATGTGGTTCTCATAGCCCAGCGTGCTGGTGGTTACAATCGGTATGCGGTACTTGTAGGCGAGGGCTAGGAAGGCCTCCTGATAGAATTGCTCGGCCAACAACAAATCAAAGACACCCTCCGTCTCCTTGGCATGGATGAGGGCCTGCACCTTGGGCTGCTTCAGCGCATGCTCTGTGGTCTTCAGTCCAATAATCTGGAGCATTTTCAGAAAGTCGTAGTTGTCCATACGCGTGAGCTCGAACAGATGTTGAGCCCCAAAGCTGAGTTTCACTGAAATGCTAATTCATTGTAGAGGAAACGAAGCTTACAAAAAGTCAAAATTTACTCACCATCATGCCAGAAATCGTAGACGGGCTCTATTAATATCTCCGTGTAGTTGCTGCCCAGTTTTTGGGACTCCAGTGAAAAGGCTGCTATCATGGTTACTTGGTGGCCATTGGCTATAAGCTCCCTGATCAGTGCTGTGTGCATCATGTAGTGACTCTTTCCTGAAATACCCATTGACTGATGAAAAGCCCCGTCGGCTCTGAGGTCCCTAATCACTCACCTGGAAAGGCATACACCGCCAAAATCTTGGATGCTCTCGTCGTCTGCGGCGCCTGCTCAATAATTAAGAAACAGGAGAGCAGCAAAAGTCTAAACCGCGACAACTTCATTGAATTCGCAAAAAAATGTATTCCAACACTCTCCAAAAAACCGACTGCTTAAATAGCGCGTCTAAAACAGAATGAATAGCTGATCAATCCGCGCACATTTGAGAAAACTCGGGCTCGCCCGAATCGTATGAGTCGTAAGAGTAAAGTCTCCAATTAATTTCAAGTTGTTTAAAAACGATCATGATGACGCCACTATTGCTGTTGATGCGATAACGCGAATTCAAAATCTAACAACGAAGCTCATCAAACAAACACAAAACTTGTTTCGACTCTCCACTGCGAGTACTGCAGACAAGTAGGATGACTTCTAAATTATAATCTTTAGCGCTGTCTAACAATAGTCTTAATAATAACACGACCCGTATGTCGCTACATATTGACTGTTTTTCGCCAAAAGCTTTCACTGTCCAGAAGAATATCAACTAAAGGGCCTTATTCCATTCCAATCACACTTACACTGGACATTTTCTGGTCTTCAACCCTTTCCTTAACCTTTTGGACTAACTGTACAATGGCTACGATTCCACCAAAAACGAGTAGTATTGCCGTTTCCATTTCATATGTTTGCAGAATCTTTCGATAACAAATAAATAGAACTGAATGAAAACTACGGACATAGCACTTTTAGGCTTAAAACGTAAAACGTGAGGCAAAATATTTCAGGTTAAAAAATAAGAAATAGAACAGACTTCATAAAGAATGCGAAAGATCTGCCGTTTCAGGAAAAACACCATCTTTTGTAAAACTCATAATCTATAGAACTAAAACCTAGACACAATTCTGCGTAGACAGGATTGTCATATGGCGTGTGAAAGAAATAAAACTCTGCCGAAGACATTTGGTAGGTAGTGTGCTCATAGTCGTAGGTAGAATATTGGGGGCCCGCAATTCCAGCAATTTGTTCGGAACGTTATTCACATGCTTAATATGTAGGTCTTTGGCAACGACAAGTTTTTTTGTACTCATTACTATTGTTGGACTTGCCAGTCATCGTGCACATCACAAATAGCTTAATATTGGGGAGCGCGTGTTTGACGATTTCGTGATTGCACTTGATTTATGATTTATTTTTGTTTACATACGCGTTATATTTAATATTAATGTGTACACCCTCCGATCGCGGCAGCTCTCAAAATACAACTGAGGAAGGGTCGTGTAGATTGAAAACATCGCCGACAATATATCGTGCCTGTGTGTGTGGGCACACTATGCTATATACTATATACTATGCGATAAAATCTGCTTTGAATGGCGTGACACATTCAATTAAAGAAAGAAGAACTCAAGGGTTTGTAAACGCCTTGCAAAGCTGTCTAGAGAATCTTGCCGTTTTAACAAAGCTCCAAGTGTAAGGCAATTTCTAGCTGGACAAGTTCACAAACATACAGTGTAATATTACTATTATTAATTTGTCTAATGATTTAGTTTACAAACATAGTCGAAATGTATTGTCTCGCTTTTGAATATGTAACGCCAATTAATTAGTTGTGTGAGATCAATATATAGTACTTATTACAATAAATTATGTTAAGCAATTTTCGCCGTTTTCAGTTATATATTCTCTACTGCTCTTTGTGAATAGTTATTGATTTAAAAATGATTGCTATTGTTATTCTAATATTGTTTTGACTTTGTTGCAGCTCTTCAACATTAATTTCTCTTTAAATGGACTCTTTTCTCTGTTGCTCCTTTGTGCATCTGCTTGGATATTTAAAGTTTATTAGCAGCCGAGAGATAAGTCGGCTTTGGGAGAAGAAGCATGAACAACTAAATTTAATATATAATTTATATACTAGAGAGCAATTTTAGAAAAGTGTGTATTAATTCAGTTCAGCATTTGCCATGTTTACTAACTTCTCTATCTCTTAACACATGAAAGCTAAGTGCTACTTAGCATTCGTATTATGGCATCTAAAAAATGCCCATTTATGTGTGTGTGTGCGTGTTGTTTTGTTTTTTAAACAACACCTCTAAACAAACTTTGTATTTGTTTTTTAATTATGCACAAGGTCGTTGTTCATATTTACTCGAATTTACCTCACAATACGGTATGTTGCCACATTTTTGTTCTGCATTAAATAGACTTGACACCTCACACATAATAAATACCTATACCCTTAGGACAGTTACTAAGAGTAAGGAGATGAATTGTGGGAAAAAGTGATATAATTGCACCGATCCTTATTATTTAAAAATCACCAACAAATCGCAAATCATTTACGTTTCTTATGTAAATCATTTGAGTTGGAAATACTGAACTGTACTATAAAACGGATTAGTTCATTCAGTAACATCTTTGGAACAATCAGATGAAGACCGAATTAATTAATGAATTCTAACAATTAGTGACGCTATCAGGCGTGATATCAACATTCTCAAAATTCAAATTGTTTTCAATAAGCAAACAGCTTTTGATACCAAGTCTCTTTTCAAGTCAAATCGTTTGAATGACAGCTATATTATATAGAGATCTGGCATGGTCAGCCTCGACAATATGTCTGTTCAATATACGCCCGCACTTTTCAGTGAAGGGTATACAAATTGCGGAGTCTCTGAGCCGGCAAATCTAGAAAGTATCGACATCTACACATGCAAAACAATCCTTTTACAACATTGAAGCTTATCTATGCTTCAAGAGCATAAAACATTTCCCAATTGCTCCAAATAGTTGATGGCAATATGCCAAGCCCCAGTGGCAGCAACAGCAACAGCAACAACAGCAACGCCTTCTGCTTCTGTCACTTGGGCCACTCATTAAAACATCAAATTGCCGCAATGGCAGCGGCACGAACAGAAAGCGCAACCAAATGCCAAACTAAAAATCAAGGACAAGACTTCGAATCATAAATAACATTTTACTTTTGTGTCGGTGTCGGTGTCGGATTGTCGGGTTTTTTGGTTTTCCTGCTTCTTGTTGTTGCTGCCAGCCAGCCAGCCAGCCAGCTAGTCAGCCAGCCAGTCAGCCAGCAGCAACCAGCCAATGGCATAATAAATTAATGTTCGCTATGTTGGCTACTCTGACGCCCGCCCAACTACGGTTACGATCTTTAACTTGGTCTATAACTGTGTATTACTCATACGCGCCATGGCTAATTGGTAACAATGCGAACTGGCCAAAACTAAAAACTAAGCCAAGCTAAGCGACAGGTTCGGGTTGGCGCCAAAGTGCAGCGCCCGTCGCTGCCAAAAAATATACCCACACACACATACATACATACATATATATATATATATATATATATATATGTATGTACATACCTATGGAGTCAGAGATTTAGACCTCCAAGCACCGTGGGCTTTTGTTTCTTCTGGCTCCAGCAAAGTGCAAGAAGAATAGCAGAAACAAAAAAAAAAAAAAATTATGTTCAAATTCCAAAAACCTGCAGCCAAATGAACAATTAAATGGAACGTGAGCGAGTTTCGGTTTCATTTGCCGATATATATATATATATATATAGATATATACTTGTACATACATATGTATGTTTGTATGTATGTATGTATGTGTGTACGCGGGCTAGGCCTGCTCTCAGGTTCGCTTTGCTGGCCGGCACGGAATGCGCATGCGCGCCAGTGCAGGCCTTAATGCTCCACTTTATTTTATTTTATTTATTTTTTATTTTTCTCTTTGCTGTTGTGGTTGTTGTTGTTCTTTTTGGCATAGAATCGCGCGGGCAGCCCAAAACATTTTCTGGTGCTGTTTAGCAATCAAAACTTACAACAACAACAAACCATTCGCGTGCGCATGCCAAGCTGCCGCCTAACGGTGCTTGTAGTAAACGCAGTCAACGTTGACGTTGAAGTTGACGCCAACGCTAACAGTGACTGTGACGGCGACAGTGACGTCGACGTCGCCGTTGACGACAACGCAGTCGACCAGCCAAGGCGGCCCCAACAGCAGTCCGCGCACAACTCAAATTCGTCATAGTGCCCCCCAATAGAGATGAGTGCGTGATCGATTGTGGAGTGTCAAGTGAAATATGGAATGTTTAAATAATTTATTTTTTATTCGTAATAATTACAATTTTGTTTTTTATAAAAACTTTTATAAGTTTTAACTATTTCTTATTACTAATTATTGTTTTCCAAACTACGGAAATAGTAAATATAGTATTTCTGTGAGTGATTTATAGTATATATTGTTAATAAGTAGATTAAACTTCTCTTAGAGTTTACAGATCCTTCAATAAGGCTAGGAACACAATTTATAAATCAGGGACCGCAAATAATGATTATTTTGTTTTTTTTTTTTTTAATGAAAAAATCATTTACTTATAGTAACTTTGAGAAAGCGAGGAATTTACAGATGTCCTTTTTTAAGAATTATCTATACATTTTAATTTTTATTCATTCTCTCAAAATTTAATAATTAATTTTGAGTTTTACTTTAAAAATTAACCAATAATCATTATTTTTGAGGAAAAAAATAACACTTATAAACTTATTTTTTTGATCAAAAATAAACCTCAAACTGTAGTTTTGTCTATTCCTTTTAATTTATAAATTTAATTAATTAATAATTTTAATTAATAAATATTTTTTTTTTTTAATTCACAAACAAAACACTAAATTGCTTTTTAATTTAATTTTTATTTCATGAAATATTAATTTCATTTAATGATTATTGGTTAATATTGAAAGTAAAACTCAAAATTAATCATTAAATTGTGAGCGAACGAATAAAATGAAAAAATAATCATTATTTTGTAATTTTTTAATAACACTTATAACGAATACAGTCCCTGTTATAAATACGAATTGAACTCGATGGCTGACTTTAAATTAATTATTTATTAGGATAACAGTTTTCTTTGCAGAATTTAGTTTTGGGTAAGTTAGAATTAATAACAAAAGTATTTTGGCAGGATTTAACAATGCTTCTCTAGACTAAAATAATTGTTTATAGACTTAACCAAAATTGTTGTTTATGAGTTGTAATAGTGTGTCGAAATATTCTATAGTTTTATCAAAATCTGTGCGCTATATCACATCAAGGATTTAGTTGACAGACATCTTAGTTAGAACCATCTTATCCGTCTGAACTGCTTTTATCAAACTGAATACGTGATTCGAACTGCGCCTTTTGTAGAGGCAATCCTTGCGATCCTTCTGAAAATTGTTACTCTTCCGCTAGCCTTCAATTTATTTTATGTAAGATTATTGTATGTATTATTCAAACTTTTATGAGAAACTGTAGCTGGTCTTTTCTAATTGAATACATCAATGGGATTTATTGACTGCTTTCATTTGCAATGATATAATTGAAATGAAGAACAAAAATATTCCGAATATTCGACATGTTTTTTATTTACACACATCGCATTCAAAGCAGGCGATTCCCGATTCTTGGTTCTTAAGCTCACGAGCTTGTGACACGCCCATCCCCAGCGCCCAAGCCCTGGCTGCGTCTGTGACCCCCGCTGTGTTTGTTGGGCTCTTTGGGGCTCGCTTTGCATTTTGAATGAAAGGTGTGTTGGTTGGTTGGCTATGCCTGCTCGGAGCTGCCCCTGCATTAGCATCGACTGCAAAATCGGTTTTGGCATCGGAGCTTCGACTGCGGCAACGCTGTTGACGCTGACGTTGACGTCGTCGCTGGCGCACTTCGCCTATTGGCAATAAATAATTCTTTTTTGTTATACTTTTATGCCGCGATTTTGGCTTATTGCCTGTTGTTGTTGTTGTTGCTGCTGCTGCTGTTTTGTTGCTGTTGTTGTTGTTTTTGGTGCTGGTGTCTTGCTTTGCTTTACTTAAATTTAATTAGTTTATTTGAAAGCAGTTTCGGGCGATGGTGTCATAGATTAAATTGGCTTCAATTCATTTTTTCCTACTTCTTATTGCCTTCTGTTTTATTTCTTTGTTGTGCCTTGTTTTGGCTTGTTTTTGGTTGTTTTTTGGCTATTTTTGTCTGTCTGTGTGTGTGTGTGTTTTGCTTTTGTTTTTGTTGTGTGTGCCTTGTAGGCAATTTTAACAAGTATTATTATTTAATTGTTCATTGCTCCAGCTCCAGCTCCAGCACCAGCACCAACGGCTTTTTCTAAACCTTTTTTTATCGGTTGTTTCGTTGTCGGTATTTATTCCTTTGTTTTGGCGGTTGTTGTGCACGAAAAAGGCATTCGAAATACGCTTCGTAATGTATCAGCGTCGGCTTTAGCGTCAAGTTTCGTGCCGAATTTTCTTTTGCAAGGAATTTATTGAATTGTTAACTCGCAATTGGGCCACTTGGATCATTTGGATCGCTTGGATCACTTTACATGGCGGTTGCTTGCTTGGCCGCTGAACACACATATTCCAATACCAATTGTAATTTTTTTCTATTGCAAAACGCTCTAATGTTTGTTGTTGTCGTTGTTGTTGTTGTGGTTTTCGGCAATTGTAATACGTGTCGATACGAGCGAGTACTCGTACACTGTCCCAGTCAATCATTGAACGAATGAATGAAATACCACAATGTTTGGAGAGGAAGAGACAAGGCTTTCCATTTATAATTACATGGATGAGGTTTTGGAGAGTGTGGGTCTTCCCTATGACGCCCTTACTCTTCGCTCTAGAGTTTTCTTTCCTCATTTGTGGAAAATACCATTGCAGCATTGTGGATGCTTCAACGAAGCTAGTAACATTCTTTTAAATGTTGCATAAAGAACGGCGGCATCATTTGAAAAGCCTTATCTCATCTTGGGAACATATACATGGCATAATGGGAATGTACTCCCGATTTCTCTATGAACCCATTAGCCCAGACTTCTTAGTCTGCGGCAAAGGCTACCTAAAATGCTTTGCACCGGTTTCAAATCACTGAACAAAAAATTTGATCTTTATTTGCGAATAGATAGTTAGTTGGGGCAAGAACATCAAAATATATGCACATCAGAAGGTCAACTTTGCCTAGTTCGGCAATATTTCGCCCAGTTTGGCGGTCAACTGCGTTGGCAGTGTATCCGGAAACGAGATATTGAAGTCGACGCATAACAAGCCACGATGCGACGGATCCTTGGGATAGGGCAGACCCCGTCCGGCGAACCGTTTCATAAGATTAGGCTTGATGACCTCGCCCTTTGTATTGATCGTAATGCGATCACCTTCGAGCGTTGGAATCTGCACTTGGGTGCCACAGAGTGCCTGCTTGAGTGTAACCTGAGCCGTGTAGAAGATATTGCTGCCCTCACGCCGGAAGAACGGATGCGGCTTATCACGTATAATGAAGACAATATCGGCGGGAATTTTGTTTGGGGCCTGATCGCCCTCCTTCTGAAAGGTGACGCGCGTACCGGCTTTCCAGCCAGGCTTGACGACAATGTCGAGTACCTTCTCCTCTTTGACGGGCCGGCCTGAGGCCAGCGAGACACGCGTTATCTTCATCTTTTTATTGCAGCCCTTATTGATGTCCTCCAGCGGAATGAAAAGGTCATGCTCTATGGGTGGGTCTTGAACCATGCGCGATCGACCTTCCCCACCACGGCTGAATAACGCATCATCATCGGCCATGAACATGTGGGCGAAGTTTTCGCCAAATAGCGTGCTAAATGGATCGTTTGAGCCAAAGAATTGGGCGAAGGTGGCGCGGGGATCGCCATGGAATTGATAGGTGAAGCTGGTACTGCCACCGCTCCTCTGACTATGCTGGCTGGGCACCCCACGCTGCAGACCCTGCTCGCCATACTGATCGTAGATGTCGCGTTTCTTTTTGTCCGACAACACCTCGTAAGCCTCGGCCACCTCCTTGAAGCGCTCCTCGGCCTGGGCGCTCTTGTTCTTGTCCGGATGATATTTGAGAGCTAGCTTCCGATAAGCCTTTTTGATATCATCGTCCTTGGCATTGCGTGATAGGCCGAGAATTTTGTAGAAGTCCTTAGCCATGATTTCTTTGTCTTCTCTTAAATATGTAGTTGGTGCAATTTGAAACGATGTTTTGCCTTAAATTTTGCTCCAAAAAGGACAGAAATTTATTTTGTATCTGTTTAATAATTTCAAGATAAACATCGCACACTCTAACACATTTTGTACGAGTGTATATGCCAGGCCGTGATCTCCCAAAATGCAGGATTCATCTTAGCTTTGCTAATGAAAGCAATATACTTTTTAAATAGTAAAATAGTTAAATCCCATTTGTTACTAAATGGAGTCGAAGAGTGAGAAATCTATATTGTGTATTCTTATTCCAAGGACTAAAGGGCCTAGTTTGTTTTAGCTTATGTTTATTGAGCTCCACATTGAAAAGCTGGATGCGTTCTGAATTATTATGTACAATAAAATTTGGAAGTAAATGCTTACATTTTTTGACAAGGTGTGCACAGAGTTTATAAAACACATTGCTTTCATTAAATGGAACACAATATTTATTTGACTTATTGTGAGTTCCTAAACAGAAATTCCGTGCCTGTAATTTCTCGAGATTAGGATGAACCCAAATCTGGAATGCATCCCTACACCTTAATTACATGAGGTTTTCAAAAAAAAAAAAAACCAAAAATAAAGTTCCTCCTATGCGGGGAGCACCAAAGACTGGACGAATTTTAAAAGCGTCTCATTTCAGGAGATTCCATCTTCCATCAGATAGGTCAGTAGGGTATTAGTACCCGGGCCAACCGTCTGAAGGTGAAATGAAAGGTGCGCAGATCTAGGGGTTACGATCTCGACCTGTGAAATGGACAGAAGGGAAAAAGTTCAGGCGAAGTACCGAAGTATGCAGCCCTTTTTAAAAAAAAGGGTGGAGGGGGGGATTATTGCTGCTACGACTAATGCTAGCTGAGGCTTACAAGCCGCAGCTAATTCGTATGTTGAGAGAAGGTTGCATTCAAAAGACTCTATCTCTCTCCCTCTTTTTCTTCTTCTGTCTCTCTCTGAATCTGAATGGGAAATGCAAGCTCCCAAGGCTGGATGTGAAAAGTCTACGATAACTTGAGAACAGCTTTCTACTTCAGGAGTATAATTAAGAAATACTTGTATATATAGTACTTGTATTTATATGATCAAAGTGCATTCTAAAATAACGACCAGATCCTAATTGTGGAATACTGATACCACCGATCTTTGTTAATTATTTAAACAGTTAATGGAATGCCAAATGTCTCTATTTCTTTCAATGAAAGCCTCCATTAATTTCGCAACTCATGGCTTGGCCATAGTGTAAACATATTGGACAATGCACGACTCGCGTTGCTCACTGCACATATACCATATAGTATATATACATACAATGTATATAAGTATTGTATACAAAGCAGAAATCGCTTGTTCGCGCATGATGTTCGAATTGAAAGATCAAAGAGACGTGTGCCAGCCATTTATCAATGAGCTGTGATCCGGGCGCCAGATGTCAGCGAGCGTGCGCTTCGAGCGGCTAATTAACATGAGCGCACAGATCGGCAGTAACAGCTATGTATATGAACATTAGCAGCAGCAACAACAACAACAACAACAACCACAAAAGCACGCGCCGTTTGTGCCAAAAAAAATAACAACAACAACAACAAAAAGCCGAAACGCCAAATCGTTGCACTTGAGCGCATCGGCAAAATAGCTAAGCTGAGGGGCAGGTGGCAGGGGTTTGAGGGGGACGGGTTGCTCGGTAAGTGAATGTTTCTATTTGCGATTGCAGCTGGCTGCAGCTGCAACAACGACAGCAACTGCAACTGCAACTGCAACAATCGCTTGCTGCAGCAATGCCCAGCGAACCTGAACGGCAAACAGACTCGACTCAGCCTGAGTCTTGGGCTTTGAGTTTTTTTATGTGATTACATAATTGCCCCGTCGTGGCTAACAGCGAGCGAGCGTCTCTAATGCGTCTGTCTCCGTTAGCTTATACCCTAGCCCAGGGGCATAACAACTTTGTCATAATGTTTATCGCATAGGCTTCCACATATAGTCATAGCCATTGATTTGTGGCGAACAGCTCTATAAGGAGCGAAATAATATTCATTAATTTATAGCAGCAGACTCTGATATATTCGACGGCAGTATTATGAATGCGCTCTCCTTGAACCACCCTTTTTAAAACAGTCGGAATTTTATCGGCGAAATTTAACTCTTTTGAAAGTCTTGATTGTAGAATTAGCTTCACATCCCCAAAGCAAAGCCTGCCGGTGCTTTTCCACGTTATCCAAACACAAATAATAAGAATAAAAAATACTAACTATATATATATTGGGACTTATGAATCATTCAAGTTTCAAGAACATCTCCTATTGTTTACTTATTACCTAACCGTTCATTATGGAGCAAACTAAAATGAAATTATAAAAGCATTCTAAAACGACAGACGATCAATGTTATTCGTTACCCAGAAGTGCGAAAGCGTTTGGACTAACAAACCTATTTCTAAGCCTCAGTCAAGCATTGAAGCCATGTTGGTGCAGCTTTTTTTAAGTGTATTCCAACTTCGGCGCATCATTAATTATTTGTTTTGTAACTCGTTTCGTTTGCTTTTGCCTCGCGTCTTTGCAGATGACATCGTTAACCTTGCACTTGATAGTGATAGTGATGATGATGCTGCTGCTCGGTGTGGGCCTGGGGCTGGACACGAAAGCCGCAACGACGCCGGCACGAACGGTAACTGGGCGAGTCAGAGGCACGCCCCCGCCAGCCCCCTCCACAGCATCGACAACCACCACCCAGGCGCCCACACTGCGTGCACCACGACAACGACGTCCACAAACCACAGTGGCCCTTGGAGCGTCGACGGTGGCATCGGCTTCAGCGACGAGCAGCACGGCGCCAACGCGTGCGGCACGTCGCCAGCTAGCAGCAAGGCAACCAGCTCCAACGCCCCCTACACCGTCCACCATAGAGACGCCAGCCACAATCCGAGGCAGAGGCAGAGCTGCCGGCGTCAGCAGAGGCTCGGTGCGCGCCCGCCAAACACGTGACACGCCATTAAACGATTTCGGGCTCAATGCGCCGTCATCCACAGATGACGTCACCGGCGGCTTAACCCAAAACCGCTCGGAGCGACGGCGCCACTTGGCGGCACAACCAGAGCCGCAGTTACATCAATTGGCGTCATCGACAACGAAGTCGCCCTCGTTTCGTGGCAAAACGCAAGCGCTAAAAACGTGAGTTGCCATTTTCGGTTCATGACACTTTTTTGGCGGCAAACCTCAAGGGAGCCGCCATTGCTAGTATCTGGAATGATAACTAGAGTAAGCACTTGGAAGAGCGAACTATCGTAAGCGGGAAGCTTTGGGTCCGCAATTAAGATGATATGCAATCCATAAGAAATCGCGTACATTTGCAGTAGAGTGATAGTCTTCTAGTAATACAATGGAGCTACTTTAGCGGATCCATTCCATGTCATTTGGATGCTACCGATTTTCAACTGACCAAATAAACTAGGGCGTCCAAGCTAGGAAGCTAGGTGAGAAGAAATGGACCATCATCAACAACTATTTCATTATTGCCTGATCACTAATGGCAATTGGTTGGCCATCAACATATATTTTAGGGATTGTTTTTAGACAGCTTAAATTAGAGATTCCCAAGCACACTGAAATCAACTTCTTTACGGGGTATTTTTTACATTTTAGCGTTGCTGGTTACCTGAAATGAGGTAGTACTATATTTTTACCATTTATGCCACTGCTTTTGCCAACACTTACCTGTCTCCCCTCTCTGTTTGTTCCATGGTAGACCGCGCATGATACAACGCCTGGTGGCGGGCCATATACAAAATGCCCAGGGACACTCCACATACGAAGTGTCGGCTGTGAGCGCCAACAGCAGCAGCAGCCTCAGTTACAGTCGCAGCGGTAATGCGACAACAACCACAACTACAACAACAACCACTCCACGATCGTCTAATGCGGTCACGCCTCTATATTTTCGACGCAAGTCGCCAACACAGGCTCAGACACTAAGCAGCTCCTATCGACTCGCCAAGCAGCCCTCAACGACTTCGACAACAACAACAAAAGCCACAATTTCGGGCCACGATAATATCGATGATGATATTGATGATGCACGGGATGATGACGAGGCGCTGCTCAGTGATCCCGATGACTTCGATAACTGGGACAATGGCATTCTGCGTCTAAGTGCCGGCTCGGGCAAGGAAACAAACTCTCTTTCAAAGAAGCAGAGCAGCAAGGAGGACAGCAAGAAAACACTAGCGGATCAAGTACGGGATGGCAAGTATGGACTAATCGAAAAGGAGCTCTTTCGTCGGGTGCCCAAACGACCGGGCGTGCTGAGCTACGCTCGCAACTCTGAGGTGCCTCTGGACACAGAACGTAATTATGGTGGGCTGCAGGAAGAGGACATATGGCTGGCCGAAGATCATTTGTTGGTGATCAAGGGAGGCAGTCTCAATGAGAACGAGAATACGAATGATGCCAATTATGCGAATGAGCCGTGGCCAGCGATCGATGATTATGATGCGCCCGAGCGGCAGATTAAAATTCCAGCCAACCCACCGGTTCCGCCACCCTTTCCTGTACAGCTCGATGCGCACGGGCCGCTACAGCTTATCAGAGATAATAAACTCACGATCGTCTATCCGGTCGCTAACGAAACGATACCGGTTTATATCACCAGCACAGAGGCCAACTACAATTCGGCCGAGCGTTCCCCTATCAACGCGCCGCATTCTCCTACCCGGACGGGAGCGCTTGCGGCTGCTAAGGCGGACGACGAGCCGAGCTATGTCTACCCGGCGCCCTATTCGCCATGGCTCTATGGTGGGGGCAACACCAACGACTCGCTCACGAATCCATTCCTGAAGAGTTCTCGACCTATTACGCTGCCCGGCCTGGGTCCGTGGTTGTTCAATGGTCTGAACGGTTCACTGGACAGTACAAACGCCACAAATGATTTCGATGAGGATGATCCCACGCTCTATTATCCACCGGCCTATAGTTTTGTCTACAAGTCCAACTATTCCAATCCGGTGCCACCGGGACCTCTGGTGCCGGGCATTGTCCTTCCACCGCCTCCCAATCATTTTAGTCGACTGGAGCCGACGAATTCGCTGCCAGCACGTCGACCGAGTACAAGTAGCACAACCACCACTAGCAGTACGACCAGCACAACCACGACTACGACAACCACTTCAACCACTCCCCCACCGCATCGTGGAACGGTGCCTAACATATCCAAATACACACCGAAATACAACGCAGTAGATTACTCGAAACCACCACAACGGCAGCCACCGAAGTATGTGGAACGCATTCCAGTGCCCGTGGCAGTGCCTATACCCATATATCCGCTCAACTATCAGCCGACAGTACGGCCACGTGGCAAGGCCCCAACCTCACCACCAGCGCCGTCTCCAACTCCACAAACGCTTGTGTTTGTGCCCAGCACCACGGAACGTGCACACTCGGACACACTGTCCAAGTCTAACCCTATCTACTACGAGTACTTTGAGGCGAAACGTCAACCGGCCATCAAGTCAAACGTAATCGAGGACTTTCTGGCCAGCACGGGCAAAGCGCCCAAGCTTAAGAATTTGGGACGCCACAACGATGTGGTTAACATCACGCCCAAGCCGAAGGCTCTTCCGCCCTTGCGACCGGACTACGATGCCTTGGGTCAGTTGCTACGCACCAATCTCATTTCGCAACCCTATGCCATCTATACTGTGCCGACTGGTGGCTCGGGTGTAGATGGTAGCAGCACGCATCCGCCTCTGAATCGTTTTCAGCAGCCCGACTTTGACAAAAAGCCCTTCCTTCCTATGGTCAATTATAGTGCCGATGAGCAGGATAAGAACGCTTTTAAGGCTATCGTGTACGCATCGCCTGCACCACCACAAAATCCAACGCCTGACGCCTACCAGCAGCAGCAACAACAGCGCCAGCGTCAAATGCGGGTTGGAAAACACCAACTGTTGGAACCGTATATCTATAGCACTCCAGTGCCGCTGCCGGACTCATATCTGCCCGAGCAACGTGACTATGGAGGCGAATTATTGGCGCCCAAGTTGCTCCTGCAACGTCAGCGTCAGTTGCGTGTGGGCAAACAGCAACAGCAGCCACCGCCCCCTGCGCCGCCATTGGAGCCACCGCTGGAGCAGCAATTCGAGCCCCAGGGCTACAGTACACCCCAGCCTCCAGGAGCGGACTCATATCTACCCACTTCTGCCTATGTGGACGATCAACGGAGCAATCAAATCGAGCAACAGCGTCTCGCACGTCCACCGGTCAAATATCAGCTTCTGCGTTCACACTTTGTACGCAATGGCCAGTTGGTAGCCCCCTATGGAGATTATTCCAACATCACGAATGGGGCCAAGCCACCGCCCCCACCGCCGTTACAGTATTGGCAGCGCCCTCTGCCCGCAGCGCCCTATAAGAGGTTGCGTCAGAGCAACAAGCATCAGTTCCCGCCCTACTTTGTGCCCAACTATGCGCCGGTATCTGGGCCCAGTGGGGACTCGCTCTATCGCCTTATGCCCGTGCCCCAGCACAAGCATTGGCGCCAAGGTCCAGGCCAGGGGCAAATACAGAACCACAAACAGCAGCAGCAACACCTGCAGCCCCAACAGATAGACTCGTACTATCCAGAACGAGGCGTGCCCATTGGCCACAGTTTGGCCGGAGATATTCTGGTGAACTACAACACCAACAACCAGTTTAATCCACAGGCGGAATTGGTGCCGCATGCACAACTGGGACCGCCTCCAGTGCCGCCGCCATTGTCTTATCAGGCGCAAAGTGCCGGCCCCAATGGTGGTCCGCTCTGGTCCGATCGTCCCGTGCGACAGTCGCGCGCCCACGAACAGGCCTGAGATGGTGAGCGCACGTTCAGGACGTGACCGTTTCTATGTCATTGTTAAGGTACCTTTACACCAGCCACATTTTTTGTCCAAAATTCGACGAGGTGTACCATCGAAATCAAGACTCTGCTTTCAATCTGAACAAATCTACAAGCAGAGAAAACAAGTAACGGCGTACTTTGCATCTTTGTCGAGTTTTTGGCAAAAAATCTGGCTCTTGGGATTTTAAGCGTAGTGTCAAAATGTGATCAACAGCGAGCGTCAAGTATGAAAACCTTTCTCATAAAACCCACTGTGCACATTAAGCCCCGGTTAACTGGCAGCTCCTGCCCGGCAACAACTACTTACATACATACATATGTACCCAAAAAAAATATACTCTATCTATATACATACATAAATCTTGCCTCCCCTGATCAAACGAGAGCTCCGTAGTGCCCCTTCGACATGCAGCTGCGCATCAAATGCTCCAACAAGTCTAGCTGGTCAATTAAGCTAAAAGAAATTAGCACATACATACATACATATATATATACCAATATAGGTGAGTATCTATGTGTTTTACATACAATATTTATACTTAAATATGCATATGTCCTTAGCGATAACAAATATGATTTAAATAGATTGTGTACATAATCATAATTGCAGTTAGGCTTTCATATTTAAATTGGTGCTTCTTCCGTCGGATCTGTTTCAAAACTTTACATAAATATCGTAGTGTTGTTTCTCTAAATTGCTTTTCAAAGTTCTAAGTTTTTTTTAAGCTTACAGAACATTAAATGATTTGAAATCTGAAACTCAACATAACCATATGTTACATTTTATCAAAAAATAAAATGTTCAAATATTTCCACGTTATTTCAGTATCATACCAATGGCAACAAGTCGATTAGAAAAAGTTTTCGCTTTAATGGAATGTATTTAAGCAATAATTAATCAGTTGTCCAGTTGGAGGAATCTATATGTTTCGTAAGCTTGAATGTGAGATGATCTAAAAAACAATAAGGTATTATATATGTATATTAATCAAATAATTGTCAATGCAGAATGTTTCAGAAATTTAAAGCTTGCAGTCTCACATTTCACTTGTAAAATATTGCTTGGAGAAAGTAAATTTCAATTAAGAAGTGTCCATATTTTGATGGTATGCTACGTATGTATAACTAAAATGTGAAAGCTTAAGTATTTCCAGTGCTCTGCAATGCAACAATAGCAAACCCTGGATATCCTGGATAAGTATTGGAGGAATGCCCATTTCCCAAGAGACATCCAATAGTTTTCGAATATCTCTAATATTTCACCTACCCGTGTGTATTGCTAAAATAGGCTAGCACCGATCGCGTGCATACATATATGTATGATGAAAAACGTTGAATCAAAAATATGTTATGTCGTAGAACCTAAATTATTATTTTTTTCTATTTATTTAAAGGATATATCTTGCAGTTATTTAAAAACATAAATGGAAATTTGTATAAAAGCCATAAAAACTAAGTTCACTATAAGATAATAAAACATTGTCAGCAAATTAAGAGCCAGCGATATATGTGTGTCGCCCATTGATATTTACATAATACCTACTTATACTATATGTCTATATTGACTTATTTTTTTTTTGTAATAGTATCTAAATACTACTAAGTACACTCGTATGTATGTGCAAGTATTGCAGTTCTAAGTAAAAACACATTATAAATTTGTGAGTAATCGAACTATCTTTAAATAAAGCATCAACAATCAACCTAAAAAGCATTGTTCTTCTATTTTTTCTCGGACACCAAGTTCTACAATCTACAGAATAATTGAAAAATCAAAGTTAACTGATTAAAAACGTTCAACAAAATTATAGTCCCCCAAAATTCTTTATCGAACCAGATCATTCGGATAATTTTTGTTGCAAACTATGGTGAGTCTGTGCGCTTGTCTCCAGTTAGTACATCTGCAATATAAAATGTAGAATACATATGTGAAGAAAGAGACAAAACATTTTTCGGCCCACTTGACAAACTGAATCAACCAATTTATTGTAATAATGAATGGGTGCACGGCCAATAAAGATTTCGTATACTTCATTCACTAGTTTTATTTTTTTTTATATTCTGCCTAAGAGTATGCAACATTTTGAATATTTGCCGCCATTGCCGCCTTCAGGACCTTGTTGAAATATTTTATTTAATGTGTTTTAGATGAACAACATTGATAGCTCATCGACTCGATGTTGAACTGCATGTTGCCAGACAAACCGAATAATTTCCATCTGGCAAGTCGGCGCAGCAAGCCCATGGCGGCGCCTAAAAGCAGCTGAGCGATGTAAACAAAACGCAAACAAGGCGGGCAGGCGCAGGATATCGGCGAGAGCGAGAGTGCGCGAGAGTGTGCGAGTGTTTGCCCGGAAAGGAAAAAATCGATTTCGGTGGCAAATTGACGATACGCACACGAGTGCACAGAGGACTAGCAGGAAGTACTCAAAAAAAAGCAAAGCACGATGAATGCGAAACACGAATGGGGCGGCCCCGAAGCACTTGAATTGACTTTGATTAGGCCTTGCACTGACGAAAAGCTAAGAAGAAGCAGCAGCACGAAGCACACTCGTTTAATGACGAAAGAACGAATGTTAAGAGCAACAGCAACAGCGGGTGTTCTGTCTATTAATGGTGTTGTTGTCGGCCCGCTGGTTTACACATCTAACGTTAAACGACGCGTGAGCAAATGAGAGTCGCTCTCTATGTAAAAATGTAAAACGAGCAGCATAAAAGCGATTTGCAAAGCACAAGCAGAAGAGGAAGAAGAAGCAGCGAAATTCGTGAGGCGGAGCAGCAGCAGCAGGAAACGCGTTAATTTTATAATAGAAGCCACAAATATAATAAAATAATAATAATTCTGCCAAGCAATTCCGCAAAAGAAAGCTGCAAAATTCTGCTACAACATTTACAAATTTTATTGAAACTGTGGCAGAAAGCGTTAGAAAAAAAACAGTTGGTAAAGTGCGCGGGTGCGGGTGCGGATGTGTGGGTGTGTGCGTGTGTCAGAGCCAGAGTCAGAGTCAGTTTTCCCTTTCACAAATCGTGTGTTTGTGTGTGTGTGTGTTTTTTTTTTTTTTTTGACCACTGTGCACGCACTAAAATTAGAAGAGGCTTCGGAAAAGAGGAGTGAAAAATTATTATTAAAAGGACCAATACACACATGAATGCTTGCATAAAAAAGGAAAATGAAGCAGCAAGGTGTCGAAATCGAATGACACATTGCGTTGTCTGCAGCAGCAACAACAACAACAATTACAATAAACTTGTAATTTCTTGAGGCAGCGCTGCTCGTTAGCGACGACAGTGGTGGTGGCAAGTGGCGCCCACACGCACTCACGCACGCAAGCAGGCAGGCACGCACGCACGTTGACACATACACGCTTGTCAAAGAGAGTGGAAGGATACACATATATACCGTTATATATAGCATAGTTAGAAGACTACGACGACGACGAAGCGAGTGAAGGTGTAGCTGTTGGAGTGGCAGAGGCAGAAGCAGCGGCAGCGGCAGCACGTCTAAAATAGCACACAATAACTCACACACACACAGGCACACGCAGCAACAACCGGCGCCCCTACAAGTTTTGTGCGAGAGCTCTCGTGTGTGTGTGTGTGTGAAAAAAGCGGCGCAGGCAGCGGTAGCAGCGGCGGCGTCGGCCGAAGCAGGAGTAGGAGAAAAGAAAAAATAAACGCTCGTCGGGTAAGCAAATTATAAAATGGTAACGATGAACTCGGAGGTGGACAAAACACAGAGCAGCACGCAAGCAACCAATGCGCTAGCCATAAACACAGCGTCCAAGATGCCAACGCCAATGTCAACGATGCCGGTGACGCAGGCGACGACGCAGACGTCGGCGACGACGGTGACAGCAGCACCTGCAGCAGCAGCGGCGGCGGCAACGTCAGCAGCAACAAATGCGAATGAGACAGCAGCAGCGCTTAATAATGCAAACGGCAATGAGAGTCAGGCACTGGACAATGTCGGCCTTGTGAATGCCAACAGTGAAGCAGCAACAGCAGCAGCAGCAGCAACAACAACAACAATAACAACAACAGCGGCTGTAAATGCAGTCACAACACAAACACCACCGCCAGCGCCACCAGCAACAACACCAATAACAAATGCCAGTGCCACAGCGACAATTGCTGGCAATAACTGCAACAATAGCGTTAGCATTAATAGCAACAACAGCAACAGCAACAACATCATCACCACCCACACAAGCAGCGTCCCATGCCATGCGCCAACGGTCGCCGCTGCAACGCCCCCACCGCCCAGCAAGACGGTCACGCATGCGCCGCTGCCCAGCGCCAATGCGAATGCAAGTGCCAGCTCAAATGCAAGCAGCGGAGCCACGCCCAGCAGCAGCTCAGCGCCCAAATCGAACGCCCTGCTTAATGTTAGCAGCAATCATCATCACCACCATCATCACCAGCAGCAGCAGCAGCAGCAGGCGCCACAGCCGACAGCGATGACACAGCATCATGGACCGCAGCGCGGCAACAAGAATGAGGATGCGCCCAATATACTAGTCTACAAGAAGGTAGGAAGGCCAACTGAGGGAATCCATCCCTCTTATACATTCCTCCTACATACTTGTATGTATGACCTAGATTTGTCCTTGTCTTCAAAATCTGATTTGGAAATTAATGCGTTTGTCAGACTTAAAAGCCGAGCTACGCTTCATTCACCTACACCTTAGCAGAGATTAAGGAATTATTAAAACGTCGATATTCTGAATGAAGTGCGTAGTCAAGAGTGTTACAGTCAAAAGAAAAGTTTGCATATGTCTGAAAGCTCCCGCAATATAATGTATTTCCACAATCCATTCCAAACAATTATTTTCTTGAAATTTCTACCCCCACTCTTCACTCACTCATACTTGTATACCTTTCAGATGGAGTCCATCATTGAGAAGATGCAGGCAGAGTCCAGCGGCGTAGCTGTCCGTACGGTGAAGGCGTTTATGAGCAAAGTGCCATCGGTATTTACTGGCGCTGATCTGGTGGCCTGGATACTTAAGAACTTCGATGTGGAGGATGTGACAGAGGCGTTACATTTCGCCCATTTGCTCTCCTCACATGGCTACATCTTTCCCATCGATGATCACGCGCTCACCGTAAAGAACGATGGCACATTTTACAGGTAAGTTATATGCTTTATCTTTGTGTGTTCACTATAGCTAGGCTTGTTTTTTCATTTTTGTTGTCGTTCAGATTCCAGACGCCGTACTTCTGGCCCTCGAACTGCTGGGAACCCGAGAATACCGACTATGCGGTATATTTGTGCAAACGCACCATGCAGAACAAGACGCGCCTAGAATTGGCCGACTATGAGGCTGAGAATCTGGCCAAGCTGCAGAAGATGTTCTCGCGCAAATGGGAATTCATATTCATGCAGGTAGGAGCTCTCAGCTCTAGCTTATAAGTACAACCCCATATATACAACCGATGCCCATCGATCATCTCTTTAGGCCGAATCGCAGAGCAAAGTGGCCAAGAAGAGGGACAAGCTGGAGCGCAAGGTACTGGACTCGCAGGAGCGCGCCTTCTGGGACGTCCATCGGCCCATGCCCGGCTGTGTGAACACCACCGAGATTGATATTAAGAAGGCGTATCGGCGCGGCGGCTCCAGCCATGGCACCGGCTCGGCAGGTGCCTCCGTCGCCAAGAATCCCGTGGAGCAGCTGACGCGCATTATAGCCTTGCGAAAGCAGAAACTCGAGCGGCGCACAATCAAAGTGTCCAAAGCAGCCGAAGCGTAAGTCAACATTAGATTTTTTTCCCACTTACTTGATCAATCGTTTTGAGAGTTGGGGGCGATTTGTAAAAATGTTTAGAAGACAGGTTGTTAATTACAAACCATCTATAGACTCATTAATTTGTTTTTTGCTGTCATGGGCGCAATCGATACAACAATGTTTATTTTAGTTAATGGTCTGAAGCAGAAATGGGGGGCTTCTATATACAATCTCAAGCATATCAATAATAGCGGCTCATCATTTTCGCTTGCTTGTCAAATTTGACGAAATTGTAGGTGAAACCAAACAATTCACAATTCATAAAATATATAAACAATATAATATGAATAAAAATATATAAAATGGAAAGGATTATATCTATACATATACTTGTAATACTACGTAATACTATTATTCATATTATTAATATTATTTTAAACAACTACAAACTGAGCTTTATCTTGATATTTTTCCTCGTTTAACTCTCGTATACCTATACTCCACAGATTGGTCGCCTACTATGAGCAGTACAATGAGTTCGATTACTTTATAACCTCGCCAGAGCTGCCCAATCCCTGGCAGACGGACAGCACCGAAATGTGGGATACCGAGAAGAATAGGTACGATTTCTGTCTTCCCAAACTCCAAGCACTCTCTAATCCCTCTCTCTCTCTCTCTCTCTCTCTCTCTCTCTCTCTCTCTCTCTCTCTCTCTGCTTCTGCTTTTGAATCCTACAGCAAAGATGTTCCTGTACGTCGCGTTAAGCGTTGGGCCTTTAGCTTACGTGAGCTGCTAAACGATGCCATCGGACGCGAGCAGTTCACCCGTTTCTTGGAGAAAGAGTACAGTGGCGAGAATCTCAAGTGGGTAGCAATCGGCTTCAAATTGTTATCGCTGTTCTTAATTCTTCGTTTGTCGTTTAGATTTTGGGAGTCTGTGCAGGAGATGAAGGCGCTGCCACAGTCCGAGATCAAGGAGGCCATACAGAATATCTGGCAGGAGTTTCTGGCACCCGATGCACCCTGCCCCGTAAATGTGGACTCAAAGTCCGTGGAATTGGCACGTGAGGCGGTTACTTCGCCGAACGGGCCAAATCGCTGGTGCTTCGATGTGGCCGCCTCCCACGTCTATCATCTGATGAAGAGCGACTCATACTCGCGCTACCTGCGGTCCGATATGTACAAGGACTACTTGAACTGCTCCCGGAAGAAGATCAAGTCCATACCGAATCTATTTGGGGTGAAACGTTGAGATACGATGCGCGACTTGCCGGTTGTGGTGGTTGGATGAGCGAGGCGAGTCGGCTGAGACATTTAAATGGGTTGGGTAAGGGGGGAACTGCGGGCCACAGCTGTCCGAGTTGCTAGAATATCAGGAATTTGGTATGTGTGTGTGTGTGCATGTATGGGACTTGATGTTATGTATTACAGCACATTATAATTATGTTATTAATACGAGCATAGAAAGCCTAGACTATCGTGATGATCCCAAAGCCAAAAATAATTGATATGTTGAATCTTTTTTTTTAATTTCAATCCCCCTGATATTCCAATTATCATGTTCTATAAAGAAAATGAGAATCACAGCTTTTTCAATATTTTAAATACTCTATGGCCTCTCCAAACTTGTTTTTCCTAAGCTGCGCTGTCTCTTTTTCTCTCTCAGTCTCGCAATAGGTCCTTAAACATTATATCGAGTCGTGAACCGTGAAAACAGCAGAAATACTGTTTTCCTTTGCCCATTCCTTGGGAACTCATTGAGCTATAAATGTATTTCAAATATTCCAGTGCTGATGCGCTTTTATCGATTTGCAACGAAGGGTCTGTAGGATGCACTGTTTTCGCGGTTGGGGCTCGATATAGTGTCTGTTGCGGTCGCAGTCACAATAAAAAATGGAAACCAAATAAAAAAGAAAAACGAAAACACCACTCAAAACTGCCAGTGCTTGTTAAAATATGATATGTATTTGAAATATGAAATATGGAACCGTAGATGCAACAGTCGATGAAAAATGCGTGTCGTTGCGCACAAAATAATGCTACATACATACCAAAGCAGAAAATATATACATACATATATACATAGTATATGCGAATAAAAGCAAATCAACCAAATCCAAGCAATTGTCAAACTGAAACAGAAAACACCAATTTAAAAAACACAAACTAAATAAATAATTCTAACATACTATAGGTACTTAGCATAACGCGTAAACCCGTAAGAGAAACGAAAAGCAACTAACCATTTAAAGCCAAATTATTGCCTATACATACCCATATAAGATATATATACGAGTACATACAAACGTTTCAGTATTTCTCATAGACACAGGGTACTGTAACCACCTCCCCCACTCCCTCTGCTAATCGCCAGCCACAATTTTCTTTGAAGCGTGCGCCCACCCCCCACACATATCGTCAAAAACATGAAACATCAACTCTAATATTAAAATGGCGTATTTACTTATTATGTGTATGCGTATGTGTGTGTGTGTGTTTCGTGTGAGTGCATGTGTGTGTAATGGTAGAGTTTATTGGGAGGCACTTTATTTAGGAATTTAGGCGCTCGGTTGACTTGACAGTCCAGTTTGTTTACCATCTAAGCTTTACTTTATAAGGTGTTCTTAATTGGATGCAAATGCGAGCTAATTTGAACAAACACGATTTTGAATGGGCATTAGAAATGCCCATTTTGTATACCTACATACATACATACAAACATACATATATCCTTAAAGAATTTGCAAGACTTACGAGATTCTATTACAGAGCTGCTGAGAGTTAGGAACTAAATTTGCAAGGAATCCCAATTCCACCTACTTAGTTAGTTTTGATGCAATTTTCAATCTTACGCTATTATTTTGATATTCTCTATAACTACTACTATACTATATACACAATCGGACTAGCAAGTCAACTGAGCGACATGGCGTTGCCGGCCCAAATAAACAAATGAAATGGATATAAGCATGTGAGGAAACTTTAAGCATACATACTTATATATCTTATCACACATATACGAGTATATGTATGTATGTCGTAGCTGCAATTAAAACTAAAACCAAATATATGCATATACATATATAAAGTATATACACAAAAATATCTAAGTATATCGACATACATGAAACATAGGACAAAAACGAAGAAGGGCAGTGGAGAGCAGAAAGTGCAAGGAAAGCAGTGCAAAGCTAGCAATTTTAGAATTAGCCTAACTAAATAATATTATTAACAATAATAATAATAATAATTACAGTGCAGTTAATTGGGGAAACAGGCAGATATATACATACATACATAAAATAGCGACTAGAAGCCAAACAAACACATTACGATTGCTTTAGGTAGCACGGGCTACACGCACACACACACACACAGGCCTGGCTCTCTCAGACACACATACACACGCACATGCGCGTATCGAACACGCATTGCGGCCAAGAATATTGTGTTGCCTACATTTAGGCGGCCATTTTATAAACAATATAAACGTAAGAAAGCAAATCAACAATAAACACGAAAATCAAATAATTGTGCCCCACGTGTTAATGAATAGCCCCTCGCCCCCAATATTGCGTATTGTGTGTAATTGTAACTGTAATTGTATTGTATTGTATTGTATGTTTGTAAATGTAAATGGTGTCTAATTAAAATGCAAATGCAAATTATTTATAAACAAAAACCAAAACAAAATCAAACAGAACATAAACAACTAGTAACTTATGTGTATGTATATGTATATGTACTTAAATGTGCGCCTGTGTGTTGGTAGTCAAATTTAAATCAATTGCCCCAACGCGGGGAACACACTTAACTAAAAAGTAACGTAAACAAACTAAAACTAAAACTCAATCTTAAACTACTATGAGTCCGTAACGGAGCATACTATTTAAGTGCAGGAGAGTTATCGCGTGTCTACGTACGTACGAGTATTTACTATATATGTTGAATTTGCTTTTTACTGTTATCATTTGCTAGTCGTACTTGAACTTAAATACACAAAACAAAACAAACAAATGATGAAATGAAAAGAATTATAAATGAAATCAGATCTTGTTATTTTATCTCCTCTGTTAGTTTTCTGTGTTGCCCACCGTGCAGAAGAGCGTCTTAGCTAAATAATATATACAAGTACATATGTAAAACCAATTGAATACACACAGAGATGAAATGGAAATCAATTGTAATACAAATTGAAAATTGTTAAGCAAAGCAAAGCAAAAACTAAACTAAACTAAACAAATGAAAACCTATACAATAATAAAAGTTCTATGCATAATGATAAAAACAAAAGGAAACGAGTCCAAATACAAATCAATAGATGGGGCCGTGAAGCGCAAATTCAGCAGACCTGCAGCTTTGGGGCATCATACGGACCTACAACTACTGACTACTGTTCAGCAGATTTAATCTGACTTTCATGGCGAATCTAAATAGCGCTCAAGCATAAAATATTAGCAGATTTGGAAAACAAGGTTGTGCTTTTCTTTCTTTCTTGTCTTTATTCATATCATTACAATATTATTGCTACTATTATCCAAATTCTCTTAGATATTACAGAAATGATTATAATTTGACTCCCAAAAGTATGCTATGATTTGGCCAACCTCCGAAGTAAGCTGACTTCGATCGCTGCTTTGGCGAGCTTGTTGACTGAAATCTGACCTGAGTATTTATTTACCTGATGAACAATAATATTAACAATAATAGCTAGTATTCATTTTACTTTATGTTATGCTTTGAACCACCTGCTCAGTAAAACAGAAAATCAATAAAAGGCATTTTCGCGCTCTTTGCGGGAAATCCAACATGTTGCTACGAGATGTCGTAAAAAATGGCTTAGGGGCTACTCCATAAGGCCTAAGCTCTCTCATCAAGTATTTAAGTCATACTGCGCAACACAGAGTGAATTGAATTGAATTGAATTATCTTAGATATAAAAAATTCAAGTGATTTGATTAGCCTAATTAACCTATTTTTATAACATATATTTACAATTTATTAACCCAGTATTCTGCTACCAATATGGCAGATTAAGCTAGTTGAAAATTAATGGGGAATACAACAGTATAGTATGCAGCTATGTACATATATTTATAATATTTTTGATTTAATAGGATATACATATATTTAAGATACTATACTATATAGTTTACACAAGGGATCTCGTGGGGAGATCCTTTGGATAGCACTTTCTCAGTCTTCTCTTCCTGGGTCTGGAGAGTATATTTATTTCATTTTATTTATTTATTATTAATTCCTAGTGCCTAATAAATTAATGCACTAGTCACAAAAATTAAATTTCCTTAGATATAAACAATTTAAGTGATTTGATTAGCCAACTTAACCTACTCTTATTAGATTTTTAGGAATACATAAATTTTAAGTGTTTTGGTTTTTTTTATTATTATCGTTATAATCAGTAGAAAAGTATTGCCTACTGAGTATAAATGTATTAGTGTTAGAATTGTGACATTTACTTTATAATCCTTTAGGTATTTTCTTGAAAGTGCGCTCGAATTCTATTTCTAAAATGCATTTCATTGCTGATTGTTTTTAAGGTATGCGGTAACTCGTTCCACAGACGAACAGCAAATATGAAAAAGTGTCTTTCGGAACAAGATAATTTATATCTTATGCTAACCATATTATTTCTTCTTCTTGATGAGGTAAATGAGATTTTGTCATACAAATAGTTCGGCTCTTTTCGAGTAATGGTTCTACTTGTATAAAAATGAGTGTCCTAAGTGTCCTATATAAGAGACATAGTGCTCTGGCGGCACTAGAGTTACCTACTCGCCTTGGTAGAGTTCGGCATCTTGCTACAGTTTTTCTGCCACAATAAACCTCCACCATAGTTCAAATTGCATTATTGGTAGAGAATTTCGTACACATTTAGATTTGATACTGAAGTTGTTTGTATTAAAGGGAAACATTGGAATGTTTACAACGACTCGTTGTGTCACGCTGATCAAGTAAGTACTATATAACATAAACAGAAACATAACAGAAACATAATACATTTACACCGTTTTTAAAAAATATCAATTGCAAGGAAGGGCTTAGTCAGTAGATCACAAGACCTACATACGAGTGTCTCTGATGACTAACCTGTAATATGTAGAGCTGCTATAGAAAAGATCGGTTAAAATATGGAATTAAATGAGTGCTGGGCTTGGGCGAGATCAGTAGAATTGTAAGAATGAGGGTAGAAAATATGCTCGTTGGATATTAGCTCGTAGAAATATTGGGCCACCACTTTATAGATTATACGCATACTGTATACGACTGCCGGATGACTAATTATCCAAAAAAAAACCCAATAGTACTGACTTTATACATAAAGGTGCTATAGGAAATACATATGCAAATAATAATCTCAAATTTAAAACTAATTTACGAGCAGTCTTATTTAAAAAGATACTCGTATCTTTCCTACTAAGATACTGCCTTTCGAGCTGATAAGACGAGTGGAATACAAACTCTCAATTATCTACAATAATTACGAGTATTAACATAGCTACCATAAAAACGAACTTCGAAAAAAATAGTAAATCTGCAAAAGAATTCCTTACAGCGAAAAACTTGTAGTTGGCAAGAAACGGTGTAAATGCGAGCTTCTTTAAAAATAAAAACAATAATGAAAATAGCATTCACGAGTTCGAAGTTACTTTTAAAAATGTTTACACGTGCCAATGCAACTGAGGTGAGTGGTAAGCGATTCTCAGAACTTGAAATCGATATTAAAATGTTGTTTATATTTGCCATTTGTGGCTCAACTTTTTTCGACACCGTCCGGCCGGCGGCGAGTTCCGACCAAGTTGGAGCTACTACGTGCCTGGTGCTGTGTCATTACAGAGCCCGACACCAGAGACGCGTTTGTTTTACTTTATTTTATTACTTTCATTTAATAAAATATTATTTCGTCTCTTTATGTTCGCTGATAAGGCTAACACAAACACAAAACACACACACGCGTGATAAGCGAAATGTTGTTGGCGATGCCAACTGATGCTTCTTCACACTTCCCGTCCCAGAGCTCCCAACTCACAGCTCACTGACAAGCTTATCAATGGGAATGTACGGGCATGTAGAATTTGGCCAAGTTATCAGTGAACTGTCTCTAATGGCATCCGCAGCCACCGAGCTATACGTGTATGTTCTGGCTTGTTCCATATGAGTGGGGCGTCGAATTGGGATTAGAGGAGCTACAAAGTCGCCCATGGAGCCCAGGGAGCGAGTCAGACGTGACCGTCGACAACAAAGCAAATGTGCAGCGTCAAAAATGTCCAAATTCAAATTCAGTTGACCAAGTCAGCACGTCAACGAGTCGACGAGCCGGCAAGTCGCCGAATAAAGATCATGATGCGAACAATGCGAACAATGCGAGCGGGGAACAGTGATTGATCACGTTTTGTCCATAAAGGTCCGCAAAAGGCGATCGCGTGTCGTTCGCAAATTAGCCCAAAACCGGCGTCGACTTTGTTCGCAAGTCATTGCACTTCAGTTTTTTTTTTTCTCACTATATAAACATACACATACAACTATAGTAGTATAGGTATGTTTAACGGTGTCCGCTGCTAATCCTCCCATTTATCGCTGACACGAACCGCTGGCATTAGGACTGACTGACTGCTTGACTTGGACGCGAGCGGCGCGCTCGCCTAGCTGTAAATTGTGCTTATCGCGTCTGCCTACAACATTTGTATGCGACACAACTTTGGAGGCTTAGTCAGAACGGCTATATACCCCGCACATGTCTAGATTAGGGCATTTTGCAGCTCTCTACGCAAATTTGGACACGCTTTTTCTCAGCCCCTCCTCTGGCAGCTGGCGAGCCAAGCGCGGGAGGAACGGCCTTCAGTAATCTGCTTTTCAGCCATGTTGCCGCATTTGCCTAGGCATGCGTCAATTAGCCATAATCCTTTCCTGCCCTGCCTTCCCAGTGTGCCAATGGGGCGCATGAGTGATTTGCTTGCATGCATTTTTTTTTAAATTTGATTTGATTAACAACTTTTGAGCAAAGCTTAGCACTAGAAGAGGAATATTTTAATAACAGCCGCTCGGCTCACTTTTTAAAACGATCGTTTTTATAGGCCCATGTAAGCCTTTCGGTTCATTTAATTTAATTTATTATCGTATTTAATTTTAAATGTTTGCAATGGTTGACCACTTCCCATGAACCTTCGTATAATATTCGAGTATAAACACCACAGGGAAAGTCAATTGGTGCCTCGAGATGAACCCAAGCTCGGATCTAAGAAATGATCCCTGAGATAAGTTTTAAATGTGTGACACTTTTTTCAAATTTGAATGAAAGTTGTAAATGATTTTCAATGTCTAAACTCCACAGGGAAAGTCAATTGGTGCCTCGAGATGAGCCCAAGCTCGGATCTAACCAATTATCCGAGAGATAAGTTATAAATGTCTGACTTTTTTTCAACTTTATTTCCTTTTTGAATGATTTTTAAATTGTTTCTAGTTCTAGTTTTTGAACAATCCATTTCATTTTTCAGCAGCTTCTAAATGACGCGCTCTTCTGGAATCTTCGAATTTAATTGCCATCCATAGCTGCCACCGAGCTATAAGCGGCGGCTCGATAAACAGCTTAGAGTTGACGGCCCATGGGTGGAGGCCCTGCTGTTCTAGAACCTGCCTCCCCTTAAAGCGGAGTGTTCAAAAACGCTTACAATTTGTAATTAAAAGCAGCTTAGATAAAATGAATTGCAACCAAATAATGCTCACAAAATGGAAGAAACTTTAATATGAATGTTAAATATTATTTGTTTTTCAATTTAGTTTTGTAAATGCTCCTATATATGTATATAGTATGTAGAACTGGGAGATATAAATAGTTTATAGAAATTTTTTCCCTGATATGTTTTTCAAGAACCTGGAACCCGAGCAGCTGACAAGTTGCACTCAATAATATAAACAAGCATTGCAAATTTACAATTCAGTTCGTGTGATAAACGGCAGATTGTACGCCTCTTAGCACCAGCCATAGCTCTTATCTCTGTCAGCAACAACACCAGCAACAACTGCAATAACAACAACACTCTTGACAAGCAATTCCGTTATCTCGGAAAACTTAGGGATGCTATAAACCAACGGCGTAGAGTGGTGCTTATGCCGATCATAAAGCAAATGTGTGCTTCCCGTGGAGAGGGCGGGTCGAGTCTCGACAGATCTCGGGGTATGTGTCAGAGCAGTATCAGGTAATCAGTTAATAAAGCACTAAGTGAGATAACAATCATTTGTTGTTGTCTGTGAGTGTGAATGTGAGTGTGTCTGTGTGTGAGTGCATTGACTATGCTGAGATATCCCTGACCCAACTAACTGCCCGACAAAAGCCTTTGGAGCTCACAACAAGTGTGAGCGCAGGACAGGTTTGTGGAGCGGAAGCAGACAAGCATGAGAGCGTCTCAAACCTAAATGGGCCAGAGAGCAACGCATAATACAATCGAACCGAGCCATCTGGTTGTAGACGCAGCCTAGAGATGGTAGCAGATGGTGAGCGTGACTTACTCAGTTTATTACAATTTTCTTCTATTCATTTTGCTTTTGGGAATATCATCAGGTTTTCGGTACTAAAATAAATATCAATTGATTAACACTATTAATAAAATTAGTCATTTTTATGATGCTCTTAACAAAGATTTTCTTAGATTAGTTTGTAATCGATCTCACCATCAGAACTATTTATTTAAGAATGATTATATATATATATATATATATATATATATATATTTACATTGAATATTAAGTTAATATACAGTGTAATTTCAAATGAACACTTAATATTTATATTTCATATTTTTAAAACAATAACAAACAATTGCATATGTATGTATAACTTTAAAATGTGTGTTCATTCACAAAATTCAACAAAAATAACCGGAATTATATTAAATCAAATAAGTCAGTAACAACTAAAAAGTTAATGAATAAATAAATCAAAGAAAACTTATTTGGAATAACATGTTTGTGACGTAGGATAAAGGTAGATTAGAGTAACTTCCGCCGGAAACGCAATAAAACAAATCATACATCCCACATATCAAAAATACGTGCTTTTAACCACTTACATATACATACATACATTTGTGTTTAGTGGCTGCCCTTTACTTTTTCAGATCGCGTCACGCACCCATCTCGATTGTGCTAACATTCTAGACACTAGAGCGAGGGCTCTGCCGGCAGCGACTGCGACTGCAGCTGCGAGACTGTCGCACACTCTCCCGCTCACTCACTCTCTGGAGCTATGTATATTCGGAGGCAGACGGGCAGGCGAAAGAGATTTCGCGACGGCAATTACGACGTTGGCAGCATCTTCTTGGGCAGCAGCAGCGACAGTGGCAGAGCCAACAGCAGCGGCAGCGCCGCCATCGTTTATCTCAACATTGGCGCTAGCCAGAGAGCAAGCGAGCAGTTGATGCCCGGCGCAGTTTGCTTCAAGTTCAGAAAGTTGAAGCTACAAAAAAGAGTGCGCGTCGAGCCAGACGATCGTTGTAGTTCTCGTGATCGCGCATTGGACGGTCGCAGTCACAATTGTAATCGCAATCGCAGAGTGGCAAGTCGCAGATTCTGAGTCCCATCGAGGAAGCTACGTGCCGTTTGAACACGCCTTTGATTCTTAGGTCAGCAGGTGTCTAACAATTGAGAATAACTCGGTCTGCCCGATACTGTGGCGTGCCAAATTGCAAAATCAAAATATCACGTATACGTCGCGTACAAAGTTCAAATACAACGAACTGCCTGTTGTTGATCCTTCAGAACCGGTTTACTAGCTGAATGCTAATACACACACATATACACGCATATGTATGTTTAGTACATATATGTGTCAGCTGAGGACGAGCAATAAATCGAATCGAATCGAATAGAATTGAACGAGACGTATTTTGCGGCCTTGACAGCCCATTAGAAAGAAAACCGAAGTCGTCAAGCCATAGTCTCCACCCCTCCTCCAGTTCCTGCAGTTTCAATTCCAGTTATTGTTGCTTTAGCTTTTATTGACACCGCCATCGTCAGCAGCAGAGGCAATTCCAATTGGAAATAACAAGATCGCGCTCTAGTGTGATGTGGGACAGGAGCGGCGTCAACGAGTTGGCCAAGAATCTAGTAGGCCAGGAGCATTACGAGTACACACGCAGCCAGCACAACTAAGCCAAAATCTTCTTCGACTGACTGCCAACCGTCACCACCTCTTCGCTTTTTGCTCATACATACATACATACATATGTATGTATAGTGTGTATGTATAATACGAGTAGAACATATATCGTGTCTGCACATATTCAAGACATTCGCAGAGTGCATTCAACCTGAAGAATACACAACAGCAACAGCAACAATAATAACAACAACAACATCAACATCAGAAAAACAAAGCCAAACAATTGATTAAACCAAATACAAAACACCAGCATAGGCATAGGCATAGGACTTATGCCAACGCACTTTTGCGATCTCAACGATCTCCGAGACAGCGATAGCTCAAGCAAATACAACAACAAAGCAGGGCAGCAACAATACTAATAACCATAACAAAAATAAATACAACATTTTAACCGGCAAATTAGCCTAAAAAAAACCCAAAACGAATTTCGAAGAAAGAAGCACGCGCGTATTAAAATTTTGCGTTTGAACATTTTAAAGTGTTTCGATTTTTCTTCATTTTTTTTTTTTTTTGTTTCTTTTTGCATTTCTCAAATGTGAAAACAAGAAGGGGCCCGCAGAAAAAACAAATGCCGCATAAATATATATACTGTATATAAGTATATATATGGTATATGTATAAGCATACATACATACATATTTATGTGCACATATAGTGTGTAATAGAACGAAAACGAGAGCAAGAGACGGCCAGCGAGAGCAAGAGAGAGGAGGCAAGGGAGAATCAACTTGTGGCCAACAACTTTTTCAAGTGAGTATCATTAAACATGATTCCCATTTCCAATCTATAAATAAATAATGCGTTCTGTTGCAACAAACCTGCAAACTGCAACAATTGCAATGCGTATTTCAAATAACCTAATTAAAGTTAGTTTGGATACTTAGTTTGGGATAAGACTAATCAATGGAGAATAGTCAGCGCAGTTAATAATACATGCATGTATAATCACAGACAGATGCATATACATATAAGCTACAAAAGATATTACAAAGTCGCCTAATGAGGTCAAATATAGGAAACCATACAAATTTATTATTCTCAGACATTTCAAGAATGTTCATTATTTGGCTTTTATCACAGATAAGAGTGGAGGTGTTAAGATTATTTAAGGCTTCATCATTATCTTCCTATAGGCAGTACATACATACTATATAGACCTAAATGTATATGATAAATATATATTTGATACATACATACTTGTATGTGAAATTGGTGAAATGTGTGTGCAAATTATTTGCCTATGTGCCCATTACTTCAGGCCAGACTGTTTGCAGCAATCCATGAATGATAAGAGTTTTGCAGAATAGAAAATAACATTAAGAAAATCTTAGTAACTGGTTCAGTCGTAACGTTTCGTTAGAAATCTCAGTCGACATTATACGTAAAAAAAAAAATCGAAAAAGAATACGGGTCCAGTTTGAAAGTTCCTCAATTTAAACGTTTCGTTTCTTTAGAAGTTTACTCATTTATTTGTCATGGCATTTTCTTATTGTTGCTAGCTGGGGGGCTTGGTTGTTCTTATTTAATAAATATGTAATTATGTATGTATATCTTACGACTCACTTCTACGTTTACATTTTCATCTTTCTTGTAAACAATTTTCAATGCCTTAATCATAAGAAAGAGATGGCTGCCAAGACTATTTCTATTTTTAAACCAGTACGCCCACTGGCTGACCTAACATTTGGTGACCCCGACTCGTCATTACTTTTTGCTTTCGTTTCAAGTCAGACAAAAAGCTTTCATAATTTTGTTTTTTAATTTCAAACAGATTGAAAACAAAACCCAAAAGTATGAGCCATTCAATCATCGCTTTAACAATATATTATTCATAATATACTTATAATACAGAGATCTTTTCAATACTTGCCTGACAATCGCTTTTAATGGCATATGTTGGTAGATGCTGGCACGCGTCCCATTTGTCCAAAAACCAAAATACATTTTTTTGAAATAAAAATATATAGTATGTGTGTATACTCGTATTCTGGGGACTGTCGGGAGTTTCCAAATATATGCATGCATTGTTTTCAAATACTTGCTAATTGTTCTTGTGGTTGTTGATTGTGTACGTCTAGTTATTGTCAAATTATCATGTTAAATATAAATTTTAAAATAAAAATAAAAACCAAAGGAAATTTAAAATTGAAATTGGAATTGGAATCCAAAACAAGTCGTCATCGTTCTGGTTAATTTATGGTACCATACAAGTATATGTTTTGAGATCATTCGTGCTTTCGTTCATTCATTAAGTCATTTCCATTAACTGTTTGTTGAGCAACTATTTACGCGAGTTTCTCCACTCCCCCAACACCCGCCGGCACTCCCCTCGACCACCTGTTTAATGTACGGTTGGTTTGGCTGTCAAAAAAGCCTCTAAATTGCGGTTTCGGTTCCGCACAAATTTCCTTAAATTACTTTTCGTTATCTCAACAATTTGCATTGTTCTCAGCACTTTTGTTGCAACTGTTGTTCCCGTTGCTGTTTCTGTTGTTGTTGTTGTTGTTGTTGTTGTTGTAATGCAAAGGTGCAAAATACGCACAAATCTCACACAATAACAAAAGCAACGAGCAACATTTAAAATGAGGCAGCAAAGACAATCAAAAGTATAAGTGAAGAACTGAAAAATAAAAACAAATTCAATTTATAATTGATAGCAAACAAAAAGAAAGAAATCAGCAACGAGACTGTTATAGAAACAGACTGAGACTGAGACTACGACTCGGAATCGGAATCGGTATCAAAATTAAAATGGGAATCGACAGCGACATCTCGAATTCTTCACAGAGGCGGCAACTTTTGTCTTGTCTTTGATTGTTTTTCTTTGCCTTTTTGCTATTGCCTCGGGTTTCTATATATAGCATTTTGTTATTGTACGAGTATATTCTTGCGTAGTCCAGTACAGCACCAACAACAACAACAACAACGCAAATAATCAAAAATGTATTTATAAAAAAACACACAAACACACACACACACTACAGTAACAGCAAACGAACGAAATAAGTCGACGAAGCTGGCGAAGCAGCAACCAATTATTGTCAAATGCGCTTAACTTGCTTGCCGGCCTCTACGTGACCAAAACAGGAATCGAGCATGTGACTGACTATCTAACCTGTACCTGAACCCAGCAGAACTGAAGAATTTACAAAAACACCTAAATACAGTCTGCCACTGTTGTCTGAAAGCTGGGCGAAAATTTCGAATCACATGAATCATACGCAGCAAATGCAAGTTGCAATAAACTCTTCTGTTCTTCCACCATTTGTTATCGACAATCGATCAATCGTTGCTAATCACTGATCGCCTGCCTTTTCACTTGCTCGTGAAAATACTTATCGAATAGCAATTGTGCAAGAAATTCATTTTAAAAGTCAACAGATTGCTCGTTATTGATTTTTGATTTCAGATCAACGAGCAACTATTGATCACACATACAACCAAAGTATAAACTAACCCATTAAAATGAATTATCATATTGATGAGTTCGTAGCCAAATAAATGTAGGATTGACTCTGATAGGAGTTTCAAGCAATCTTCACAGCAACTGTTCCTGAAAACGCCTCTTATGATTCATTCCATTTTCTCATTGGTTACTGATCATGGGTTACAAAGAACTCGTTACTTATTACTGATGACTAGCGCCGATAAAGCTGAAGCATGTAGTGTGTATCTGTATGCTCCGAAATAATCGGTAATTAGTTGTTGATAACTAATCAATCAATAGACAGAATTTTAGAATCTCCTATTGAATAACATTAACAATTAATATTCCAAGACATATAGTACAGATAGTTTAATAAGTCCGATTAACCATAATGCCATTAAAACAGTTTTCAATCAATTGTTTACGTAGTCTTATTATTCAATTAAATTGCTTATAAACATTTAAATGCATAAATAAATATTTAGGTTGCATTTGTTATTGTTTTTATGATTGCTTGATGGAAGTAAAGAAGAAGTGAGCTCTTCTTCAGTTGTATGGGATAAGCTGACTTCTGGCTCTTCGCATTCCAGCTTCCGATCGTGTGCAGTCAATCATAGCTCGTCAATCATGCATTCAATCAAGTAGCAGCCTCAACGCATTCATAGCACTATTAACTGGCGTTTTATCAATTAATTCATTAATATTTATCATGTTTTCAGTTGATTCTCTTACATGACGAAATGAGCACATGCTGAAACAGAAAATACTATATATAAGTATGTATGTATGTATACATATGTACTTATGTGTATCTACAACATGCCCATTTGTAGGCCCCGCGCCGCACACCCCTCCACTTCACTTGGGGTTCCACGATCTTTCGTCGCTCGCTCGCTCGTCGTATTTAACCAAAAAGTGGGCCACATTTTGTGCTGGTGGGTGTTTTTTCTTCCATTTCCCTGCCGTTTCTTCTTCTTATTCTGTTTTTTTCTTTTCGTCTTGTTTTGCCCCTAGGCTATAGTTTTTATGATTATGATTTGTTGTCGTTGCGTTTTTACGTAATTAAGAGTGTTTGTTTTAAAGATCGAAAACGCTGATTAACTGCCAGGGGGGGCCTTACGCTTCGCACTCGACTATAAGTGTACAGTTTTTTCCTTTTTTTTTATTTTTATTTTTTTCTCTCTCTCTCTTCAGGCAGTCGTAATACTGAAATGGCAATTTTGCGATATTTTCCACAGACTTAAGCTATATGTCTGGTAAAACAAAGTTGAGTGTGTAGTATATTCCAGAGAGAATTTGATTTCGTTTTGAATTCATTTATCATGACTTAGATTCGGAATTGAAATATATTATTGGCTAATATTGTGCCCCAAGAGTCGTTTATCAATCCTTGTGAAACATTTCCGATCTTAATGCCTTCTAATCTCTTTCCATTCTTCTAATCAATATGTACTTAATTAAGAAATATTTTATATTAATTGCGAAAATATATATTTTAAAAAAACACTTTTAGATTTTAAAGCACACTTAATACATATATCTATTCAAGCGAGCAGAACCCCGATTTTCGAATCCCCGCTACAGTCCTTTAACTAAAATAAACTTTATTGGCATTTAGGTATCAGGAGTGATTTTGAAACCGATCTTTCGTTATTTATAGTAAATGATATAGTGAGTCTACTTTGATGAATTTTAAGAATACTATGAGGGACTTGGAAGTACCAAATTTACTTAATTTTTGTAATAAACTTGCTCTCCATATATATATTTTTGAAAAACACTTTTAGATTTTAAAGCACACTTAAAACAAATACGTATCTATCCAAACAAGCAGAAGCCCGATTTTCGAATCCCCGCTATAGTCTTTTAACTAAAATAAACTTTATTGGCATTTAGGCATTAGGAGTGATTTTGAAACCGATCTTTCGTTATTTATAGTAAATGATATAGTGAGTGAATTTTGAAGAAACTTAAGAATACTATGAGGGACTTGGAAGTACCAAATTTTCTTAACATACTAAAAGAGAGGGAGAGGAGTTTTATTAAATAATGGTATATGGTGTGTAATAAACTTGCCCTCCATATGGATGAGACGAGTTTACACTTGAAGTTGGGTGTTCCTAGATGTTATGTATAAAAAATGATGACAGACGGACTTAAAAGGACGCCCAAAGATATCATGAAACATCTGTAGCATTGAAATATTAAAAGTAACTTTTAAAAATAAATATTGCTTAAGAGTGTCGAACTTGAATTTTATGTTATTTTACATACACATAGTTTTCTATGCGATGGCAGACGAAATTTTAACCACTCTTCTCGT